CTTTTCACAGATCGGTGAACCTCCACCCAGCTTTACTTCTGAGACACTCTGACCCTCTAAAGCAGGCCATAGACGGGTCAGCCGATAAACGAAAAATCGGTCATTGCCGCCATGGATGCTGCCACCAATGCTGACGGAACAATGGGACAAGAAACCAGTTTGATAGAGACAGGGGAGCGCGCCATACAATGTGACAGGGGAGCGCACCGTACAATGTGACAGGGGAGCGCGCCATACAATGTGACAGGGGAGCGCACCGTACAATGTGACGGGGGAGCGCACCGTACAATGTGACAGGGGAGCGCACCGTACAATGTGACAGGGGAGCGCGCCATACAATGTGACAGGGGAGCGCACCGTACAATGTGACAGGGGAGCGCGCCATACAATGTGACGGGGGAGCGCACCGTACAATGTGACGGGGGAGCGCACCGTACAATGTGACGGGGGAGCGCACCGTACAATGTGACGGGGGAGCGCACCGTACAATGTGACAGGGGAGCGCACCGTACAATGTGACAGGGGAGCGCACCGTACAATGTGACAGGGGAGCGCACCGTACAATGTGACAGGGGAGCGCGCCATACAATGTGACAGGGGAGCGCGCCATACAATGTGACAGGGGAGCGCGCCATACAATGTGACAGGGGAGCGCGCCGTACAATGTGACAGGGGAGCGCACCGTACAATGTGACAGGGAGCGCGCGCCGTACAATGTGACAGGGGAGCGCGCCATACAATGTGACAGGGGAGCGCGCCATACAATGTGACAGGGGAGCGCACCGTACAATGTGACAGGGGAGCGCACCGTACAATGTGACAGGGGAGCGCGCCATACAATGTGACAGGGGAGCGCGCCGTACAATGTGACGGGAGCGCGCCATACAATGTGACAGGGGAGCGCGCCATACAATGTGACAGGGGAGCGCACCGTACAATGTGACAGGGGAGCGCACCGTACAATGTGACAGGGGAGCGCACCGTACAATGTGACAGGGGAGCACACCGTACAATGTGACAGGGGAGCGCACCGTACAATGTGACAGGGGAGCGCACCGTACAATGTGACAGGGGAGCACACCGTACAATGTGACAGGGGAGCGCACCGTACAATGTGACAGGGGAGCGCACCGTACAATGTGACAGGGGAGCACACCGTACAATGTGACAGGGGAGCGCACCGTACAATGTGACAGGGAGCGCACCGTACAATGTGACAGGGGAGCGCACCGTACAATGTGACAGGGGAGCGCGCCGTACAATGTGACAGCAATACAAATACATTAGGTTTTTATTTGGATACATTTGTTGCAACCGCAAGACTTTTCATATAGAATATAATAGTGGACTGGAATTCCAGTTCGTAGGAAGGATTCAGGGGTCTCCCATTCCTGCGATCAATTAAATTTAGCAGAATAAAATTTCCTCTTCTAATTGATGTGTCTGCAATATCAGAGAGTTCGGGGTAAACGAATTAGCCTGACAACGCTGGAAAACTAGATCTTTAGAATAAACAACGGAACCGCCGTTCAGTGACACCTTCACATTCCATAGCGCAGTACAGAGCAGTCACAGGGCAGGACTGGGAATGGTGCACTGAATTAACTGCTTGTGAGGCAACTTCTTCCTTCTTCTTCTTCCTCCTTCTTCTTCTTCTTCCTCTTCCTTCTTCTTCCTCTTCCTCCTTCTTCTTCTTCTTCTTTTTCCTCCTTCTTCCTCTTCTTCTTCTTCCTCCTTCTTCCTCTTCTTCTTCTTCCTCCTCCTTCTTCTTTCCTTCTTCTTCTTCTTCTTCTTCTTCTTCTTCCTCTTCTTCCTTCTTCTTCTTCTTCCTCCTTCTTCCTCCTTCCTCCTTCTTCCTCTTCTTCTTCTTCCTCCTTCTTCCTCTTCTTCTTCTTTCCTCCTTCTTCTTCCTCCTTCTTCTTCTTCATCTTCTTTCTTCTTCTCTTCCTCCTTCTTCTTCTTCTTCTTCTTCTTCTTCTTCTTCCTCCTTCTTCTTCTTCTTCCTTCTACTTCTTCTTCCTTCTTTCTTCTGCCTCCCTCTTCTTCTTCTTCTTCTTCCTCTTCCTTCCTCTTCCTCCTCCTCCTTCTTCTTCTTCTTTCTTCCTTCTTCTTTTTTTCCTTCTTTTCTCTTCTTCCTAGTTCTTCTTCCTTCTTCTTCTTTTTCTTCTGCCTCCTTCTTCTTCCTTCTTCTTCCTCCTCCTTCTTCTTCTTCTTCTTCTTCTTTTTCCTTCATCTTCTTCTTCTTCCTAGTTCTTCTTCCTAGTTCTTCTTCCTTCTTCTTCCTTCTTCTTCTTCTTCTTCTTCTTCTTCTGCTTCTGCTTCCTTCTACTTCTTCTTCTTCCTGCTTCCTCTTCCTTCTTTCCTCTTCCTTCTTCTTCTTCATCTTCTTCTAATTCTCTTCCTCCTTCTTCTTCTTCTTCTTCTTCTTCTTCTTCTTCTTCCTCCTTCTTCTTCTTCTTCCTTCTTCTTCTTCTTCTTCTTCTTCTTTCTTCCTCTTTCTTCTGCCTCCCTCTTCTTCTTCCTTCTTTCTTCCTCTTCCTTCCTCTTCCTCCTCCTCCTTCTTCTTCTTCTTCTTCTTCTTTCTCCTTCTTCTTCTTTTTCCTTCTTCTTCTTCTTCCTAGTTCTTCTTCCTTCTTCTTCTTTCTTCTGCCCTCCTTCTTCTTCTTCTTCCTTCTTCTTCCTTCTTCTTCCTCTTCCTTCCTCTTCCTCCTCCTTCTTCTTCTTCTTCTTTCTTCTTCCTCTTTCTTCATCCTCTTCTTCTACTTCTTCTTTTTCTTTTTCTACTTCCTTTTTCTTCTTCCCTTCTTCTACTTCTTCCTCCTCCTTCTTCTTCCTCTTCCCTCTTCTTCCTCCTCCTTCTTCTTCCTCCTCCTTCTTCTTCTTCTTCTTTCTTCTTCCTCCTTCTTCTTCTTCCTTCTGCCTCCTTCTTCTTTCTTCCTTCCTCTTCCTTCTTCTTCTTCTTCTTCTGCCTCCTTCTTCTTCTTTTTCCTTCTTCTTCTTCCTAGTTCCTCTTCCTTCTCCGTCCTCCTTCTTCCTTCTTCTTCTTCTTCTTCTTCTACTTCTTCTTCTTTCTTCTACCTTCTTCTTCTTCTTCCTTCTTCTTCCTCTTCCCTCTTCTTCCTCCTCCTTCTTCTTCCTCCTCCTCTTCTTCTTCTTCTTCTTTCTTCTTCCTCTTTCTTCTTCCTCTTTCTTCTTCTTCTTCCTAGTTCTTCTTCCTTCTCCGTCCTTCTTCTTCTTCTTCTTCTTCTGCTTCCTTCTACTTCTTCTTCCTTCTTTTTCTTCCTTCTTCCTCTTCTCTTCTTCTTCTTCCTTCTTCTTCTTCCTTCTTCTTCTTCCTTCTTCTTCTTCCTTTTTCTGCTTCCTTTTTCTTCTTCCTTTTTCTTCTTCTTCTTCCTCCTTCTTCCTCTTCTTCTTCTTCCCTCCTTCTTCCTTCTTCTTCTTCTTCATCTTCTTCTACTTCTTCTTCTTCCTTCTTCTTCTTCTTCTTCATCTTCTTCTACTTCTTCTTCTTCCTCCTTCTTCTTCTTCTTCTTTCTTCTGTCTCCTTCTTCTTCTTCCTTCTTCCTCCTTCTACTTCCTTCTTCTTCCTCTTCCTTCTTCTTCTTCCTAGTTCTTCTTCCTTCTCCATCCTTTCTCTTCCTCTTCCTCTTCTTCTTTCTTCTTCTCCCTTCTTCTACTTCTTCCTCCTTCTTCTCCTTCTTCCCCTGCCTCATTAAACAAACAGTACAGAGTCTTCAGTGACCAGAGTAGCATTAGAGGCTTAGAGATGAACACAATTTCGGATTCCAATGGACCAAAATATAAATGTTTTTTTATTTACAAAACTTTGCAGAGAGAAATAGGTTTTATATTTCAAGGAACTTCAAAGCAGAAACATGATGATTAAAAAAAAGACAAAACATGAAAAGTGAAGATTCATCAGGAGGCTGTATTGGTTTGTGCCGGCTCCCGGTTCATCTTTGGTATATATACACGTCTCTGTGCATTTACAGTAAAACGAATGCTGCCATCCTTGCAGGTCACGGCTCATGCACAGATTTTTTATCGGTAAAATGATCGGTCAATTTGCCCATTATTGCTGGGAAAATCGTCCAAATCGGCCGAGAATTTTCCAACATGACCGATAAAAAAACTGTGCAAAAAACCCGAAAATCAGCTGACCAATTAACCCACTAACAGTGCAAAAATTGGCCCATTTTTTTTTTCGGCCAAAAAATCGGCCGATTTTCGACCCTTCTATGGCTGGCATAAGATGCTGTTTTTACACCCAGTCATTATTATTATTATACAGGATTTATGGCGCCAACAGTTTGCTCAGCGCTGTACAATATAACGGGAGACAATACAGCAACAATACAGTTCAATACAAGAGGGATAGGAGGGCCTGATCCTGGGAGCTTACAATCTAAGAGGGAGGGGCTAGTGATACAAAAGGTAGTAACTGTGGGGGATGGACTGGTAGGAGGAGTAGAAGATTCCATTATTAGCTGAGGGCAGGATAGGCTTCCCTGAAGAGATCGGTTTTCAGAGATCACCTAAAAGTGAGCAGAGTAGGCGATAGTCTGATAGATTGGGGTAGAGAGTTCCAGAGGATGGGGGAAGCTCTGGAGAAGTCCTGGAGATGAGCATGGGAGGAGGAGACAAGGCAGCTAGAGAGTAGGAGGTCTTGTGAGGAGCGGAGAGGACAGTTTGGGTGATATTTAGAGATAAGATCGGAGTTAAAAATGGCTTTATATGTTAGTGTTTTGAATTTTATCCGTTGGGCAATGGGAAGCCAGTGGAGGGATTGGCAGAGAGGGGTGGAGGACACTGAATGGAGGCCAGTGGAGGGATTGGCAGAGAGGGGTGGAGGACACTGAATGGAGGCCAGTGGAGGGATTGGCAGAGAGGGGTGGAGGACACTGAGTGGAGGCCAGTGGAGGGATTGGCAGAGAGGGGTGGAGGACACTGAATGGAGGCCAGTGGAGGGATTGGCAGAGAGGGGTGGAGGAACTGAATGGATGTTGCAGAGATGTTGCGGAGGTTGGAGATGTTGCGGAGGTTAGAGGTGTTGCGGAGGTTGGAGATGTTGCGGAGGTTGGAGATGTTGCGGGGGTTGGAGGTGTTGCGGAGGTTGGAGGTGTTGCGGAGGTTGGAGGTGTTGCGGAGGATGGAGGTGTTGCGGAGGATGGAGGTGTTGCGGAGGATGGAGGTGTTGCGGAGGTCGGAGGTGTTGCGGGGGTCGGAGGTGTTGCGGAGGTCGGAGGTGTTGCGGAGGTCGGAGGTGTTGCGGAGGTCGGAGGTGTTGCGGAGGTCGGAGGTGTTGCGGAGGTCGGAGGTGTTGCGGAGGTCGGAGGTGTTGCGGAGGTCGGAGATGTTGCGGAGGTCGGAGATGTTGCGGGGGTCGGAGGTGTTGCGGAGGTTGGAGGTGTTGCGGAGGTCGGAGGTGTTGCGGAGGTCGGAGATGTTGCGGAGGTCGGAGATGTTGCGGAGGTCGGAGATGTTGCGGAGGTCGGAGATGTTGCGGAGGTCGGAGATGTTGCGGAGGTTGGAGATGAAGTCTACAAGATTTGGACAGTGATTGGATTTGGGGCTGAAAGGACAGATGGGAGTCCAGGATTACACCGAGTACCTGGCATGAGGGGAGGGACTGATGGTTGTATTATTGATCTGGATGGAGAAGTCGGGGGAGGAGTCATGTCACTGACTTGTTGCCAACTATCCTCATTAGTTGTAAAACGTTCTTTCGGCTCTTCCTGGTCGTACCACTTACTTTGCCGGCTTTTTGTTGCTTTGTCCCAACTTTTTTGAGACGTGTTGCTGACATCAAATTCACAAGGACCTGACTTTTTTTTTTTTTATTAAAATTTTCTCTGTTTAAACATTTGATATGTTTTCTATTTTCTATTGTGAAAAAAATTGTATTTATCAGATTTGCAGATAATGTGCATTGATTAAAGGAGATGTACACCCAAATCTTGGTAGTTCCCTTCACTGGAACTAGGGGGCCAAGCCCAACCCCTCAAAGACAACTCCTCCCCATAACCCCCCCTCCACCAAACTTTACACTTGGCACAATGCAGTCAGGCAAGTACCGTTCTCCTGGCCACCACCAAACCCAGACACGTCCCTCGGATTGCCAGACAGAGAAGCATGATTGGTCACTCCAGAGAACACGCCTCCCCTCTTCTAGAGTCCAGTGGCGGCGTGCTTTACACCAGGGCATCCGACGCTTTGCATTGCACTTGGTGATGGAAGGCTTGGATGCAGCTGCTCGGCCATGGAAACCCATTCCATGAAGCTCTCTACGCACTGTTGTTGGGCTCATCTGAAGGCCACACCAAGTTTGGAGGTCTTTAGCTATTGACTCTGCAAACAGTTGGCGACTTCTGCGCACTGTGCGCTTCAGCATGCGCTGACCCCGCCCTGTCATGTGACGTGGCCTACCACTTGGTGGCTGAGTGGCTGTTGTTCCCAGTTGCTTCCACTTTGTTATAATCCCACTAACAGTTGAGCGTGGAATATTTAGTAGCCAGGAAATGTCACGGATGGACTTATTGCCCAGGTGGCCACCTATCACGGGACCACGCTTGGAGTCACTGAGCTCCTGAGAGCGACCCATTCTTTCACCAATGTTTGTAGAAGCCGTCTGCATGCCTAGGGGCTGGATTATTATTATTATACAGTATTTATATAGCGCCAAAGGGTTCGCTCAGCGCTGTACATTATAGTGGGGACAGAACATGAGACAAGACAGTAACAATACAATACACGAGGGGTCCGAGGGCCCTGATCTTTCCAGCTTACAATCTAGGAGGGAGGGGAAGGTGGCACAGGAGGAGATGGCTGTGGGGGATGGAGTGGCGGGAGGAGTGGAGGAGGTTAGTTGTTAGGTGAGGTCGGGTGTTAGGTGAGGTTGGGGTAGGCATCCCTGAAGAGATGGGTTTTCAGGGAGCGCCTGAAGGTGAGGAGGGTAGGCGACAGTCTGATGGACTGGGGTAGGGAGTTCCAGAGGATGGGGGAAGTCCTGGAGAAGTCCTGCAATCGGGCGTGGGAGGAGGAGACCAGGGAGCTAGAGAGTAGGAAGTCCTGTGAGGAGCGGAGGGCACGGGTAGGGTAGTATTTGGGTATCAGGTCAGTTATGTAGTTTGGGGCGGCGTTGTGAATGGCTTTGTAGGTCAGAGTTAGCTGCTTGAACTTGATGCATTGGGCAATCGGGAGCGAATGAAGGGATTGGCAGAGGGGGGAAGCAGATGCGGAGCGGTTGGTGAGGTGGATGAGACTGGCCTCTGAGTTTAGGATAGACTGGAGTGGGGATAGCGTTCGTTTGGGTAGGCCAGTGAGGAGGGAATTGCAATAGTCCAGGCGTGAGACGATGAGGGAGTGTACGAGTTGTTTGGTAGTGTCTGGGGTGAGGAATGTGTGTATCTTGGAGATGTTGCGGAGGTGGAGCCTGCAAGATCTAGATAGCAGTTGATTGTATACATCTGTGGTCATGGAGCTGATTGGAACATCTGAATCACATGATATGGAGGGGATTGGAACACCTGAATCACATGATATGGAGGGGATTGGAACACCTGAATTACATGATATGGAGGGGATTGGAACACCTGAATCACATGATATGGAGGGGATTGGAACACCTGAATCACATGATTGGGAGGGGATTGGAACACCTGAATCACATGATATGGAGGGGATTGGAGCACCTGAATCACATGATTGGGAGGGGATTGGAACACCTGAATCACATGATTTGGAGGGGATTGGAACACCTGAATCACATGATATGAAGGGGATTTGAACACCTGAATCACATGATATGGAAGGGATTGGAACACCTGAATCACATGATATGGAGGGGATTGGAACACCTGAATTACATGATTTGGAGGGCAGGCCCGATACTTTGGGCAATATAGTGTACATGTGTTTCAGTTTTGGGGTGCACACTGTAATGCAAAAGGCTGCTCACACCAATTCTGATAGGAGAAGCAAGCAGAGTGAAAGAGAGATGAACCTATCACAGTTCTGCTTCTCCTTTCACTGTCCAATCACAGGCTATGGTTGTCTATCACAGGCCATGGTTCTCTGGATTTGAGGTAAATATTGCAGAAAAAGCTGGTTTTGTTATTTTGTCATTTGATGTGCTATTCATTTTCATCTTTATATTTTTTAGGTCTGTGATTTGTACCCCATTGGCAGATACAGGATGAGTTATTGAGGTCCGTAGTTTGTGTACCTTGGTAGCAGATACAGGTTGGCCTATTGAAGCCTGTGATTTGTTCTCTGATGGCAAATACAGGGGTGGGTTATTGAGGTCTGTGGTTTGCACCCCAGTGGCAGATATAGGGTGGGTTATTGAGGTCTGTGGTTTGTACCCCAGTGGCAGATATAGGGTGGGTTATTGAGGTCTGTGGTTTGTACCCCAGTGTCAGATACAAGGTGGGTTATTGAGGTCTGTGGTTTGTACCCCAGTGGCAGATACAAGGTGGGTTATTGAGGTCTGTGGTTTGTACCCCAGTGGCAGATATAGGGTGGGTTATTGAGGTCTGTGGTTTGTACCCCAGTGGCAGATACAAGGTGGGTTATTGAGGTCTGTGGTTTGTACCCCAGTGGCAGATATAGGGTGGGTTATTGAGGTCTGTGGTTTGTACCCCAGTGGCAGATACAAGGTGGGTTATTGAGGTCTGTGCTTTGTACCCCAGTGGCAGATACAAGGTGGGTTATTGAGGCTTTAGCTTGTACCCTGGTGGCAGATACAGGGTGGGTTACTGAGGACTGTGGTTTATATACTGCTGGCAGATACAAGGTGGGTTACTGAGGTTTTTGGTTTGTACTCTTGTGGCAGTTAGAGTAGGTTATTGAGGACTGTGGTGTGTACCTGGGGGCAGATACAAGGTTGGTTATTGAGGTCTGTGGTTTCTAGCCAAGTGGCAGATAGAGGGTGAGTTATTGAGGTCTGTAGTTATTGCCCCAGTGGCAGATACATGGTGGGTTATTAAGGTTTTTGGTTTGTACTCTTGTGGCAGTTACAGTAGGTTATTGAGGACTGTGGTGTGTACCTGGGGGCAGATAGAGGGTGAGTTATTTATTGAGGTCTGTAGTTATTGCCCCTGTGGCAGATACATGGTGGGTTATTGAGGCCTTTGGTTTGTACCCCAGTGGAAGATATTGGGTCGTCTCTTGAGGTCAGTAATCTAGTACTGATGTGATGTTACATAGAGGGGTTTTCAAGGTTTGTGGTTTGGCTTGTTTGGTGAATCCTGGTGGGGTCAGTGATGTGGTTGGTACAGACAAGGTCATACAGCTTTTGATTTGGCATCAATTTGTTCTCTGCAGGCAAGGCAATGGATGGATATGATCTGGCATTGATGTGGATGATACAAACAAGGTCTTTGCAGCTTAAATTTGGAATTCGGTTGATCCAGGCAAGGTCGTTGAGGTCTGTGAACTGGCACCAACGTGGTTGATGTTGGCTAGTCTATTCAAGTCTGATATTTGGCATTGCCATAGTCAACATAGGCAAGGATATGAAGGTCTTTGATTTGGCACCGGCATGGCCGATACAGGCAAGTTTATTGATGTTGATAATCTGGCGCCGGTGGGATTTACACTGGTCAGGTTATTGAGGTCTAGGCACATGGACATACACGTGGCCAGCTCACCCTCCTCTTGTGTGGTTGATGAGTGTTTTGTTTGGATCCCATATGTTCTCCTAGATCATGCCTCCCTGAATCTGTGCTGTGAGGACGGCTCGTTTGTGCTTCACTTGCCTTTTGGACGTATTCTCCCATGAGGGCACTTTGTAGCTACGTACGTAGCAACAGCTGGGTCCCTCCAAGCCAAATCCTCCAAATGTGTAGAGAAATAGAAGTGGATAGAGGGGGTGAGACTCGGAGGGAGGGGGGTCGCATGACTCATTCTCTGATGGAATTGTGGAATTGGGAGAAACCTGTATTGGAGGTCATGGGCCTCCTGTGATACGGCCGGTAATGTGAGCGGAGACTTCAGCCTGACAAACACACGCCTCAATCGGCAGTGACAGCACAACGAGGCCATGTGTCCTGTGTCTGTTCATTTTCTATATTTACTGTATATCTCAGACCTCGCCTGATCTCTGACATTTACTCTTCAAACTTACTGAACACAAAGAATTATAAACTCAGTAATTCATATCCTAAAGACTACCACCTCTATGCTGGCGAATGGTAGGAGGAGAGCTCCTGGTTCTCCTGAGTGAAACCTCCCTGTTTTGGTATGGACAGAGACCTTCTTTGGATGACTTTGTCTTGTGTGAAGATGTGTACATGGGATATGAAGGTACTTTTCTGGAGTGGACCCTTAAAGTAAACCTGGGCAACTGAAACTGAGCCAACATTTACCCTCAGTGAAGGCCAAATACTGAAGCTATGAAGAGATCCAGAGGTCTAGAGATAGATACCTGAAAGAATATGCAAATCTTACCTTTTGTTGGAAAGACTTGATTGTTCCTCCTCCTATATCCTGAGTCTTCCTATTAGACAAGGAGGCTGCCCATCACAATAAAAGTCCAATAGTGAGGCTCAGGAGGTGAGCAGATAGCAATGTCTTCCAAAGTACAGGGTGCGTAGAGAGAACCTGAGCATAAGGCCATGGGCCTTCCCCTACAAGACGTACGGGGCAAGTCTGAGGACCTACAGCCTACTAATTAGGAATGAGTAAAGTGCCAGAGCTCCTGGTTCTCATGAGTGACACCTCCCAGTCTTGGTATGAACATAGACCTTCGTTCATGACTTTGTCCTGAGTGGAGATAAGTACATGGGATATACAGTCTACTGAAGAACTTTTCTCAAGAGGACCCAAAAGTATACCTGGGCAACTGAAACTAAGCCAATAGTTACCTTCAGTGAAAACTGAACATTGAATCTATCTATAGGTCTAGAGTTGTACACAACTGAATGAATATGCAAATCTTGACTTTCATTGGAAAGACTTGATTCTTCCTCTTCCACCTATATCCTGAGTCTCCCTTTTAGACAAGGAGGCCGCCCATCACAATGTATGCCCAGTAGTGGTCCAAAAGTCCACCTCTGAAGAGAAAGAACCCTGGCCCTGGTCCCCAAGGGTGCAAGACTCCTGACGGGAACTGGGGTACTCATGGTCCACCTGGCCAAAACCAAGCAAAACCCACTCTTTAGGGGATCTGCAAAAGCAAGGTCCACCCAAGTACCATGTGGGGCTCCCCAAAGGGAGACTCAATGGGAGAAGGAGAACTTAACCATAAGGCCATGGGCCTTCCCCTACTTTCAGGGGAAGTCTGAGGACCTCCACCATGGGGTCTCCAGAGTTTCTCAACAAAGGGCCAGTTTACTGTCCTTCAAACTGTAGGGGGGCCGTACTGTGGCAGGTGGGAGTGGAAAATGTTCTGGCGTCAGTGGGAGTAAAAAATGTCCCTTGATTGGTATTAGGAGGAGTAATAGTGCCCCATTGTTGGTGTTAGTGGGCGTAATAGTGTCCCATCATTGGTGTCAATGGGAGGAAAGGTGTCCCATCACAGGATCAATAGGAGGAATACTGCCCCATCATTGATGTCAGCGGGAGGAACAGTTGCCCTTTGTCAATGTCAGTGGCAGGAACTATGCCCCACTGTTGCTGACAGTGGGGGGAATAACTCTCCAAGGGCTGGAAAAAAGCAAGCAAAGGGCCACATCCGGCCCCAGAGCTGCAATTTGGAGACCACTGTCCTACACCCTACTTATAGGGAGTGAGTAAAGTGCCAGAGCTCCTGGTTCTCATGAGTGACACTTCCCTGTCTTGATATGGACACAGATCTTCCATCATGCCTTTGTCCTGAATATAGACATATACATGTGATATACAATTTATGAAGGAACGTTTCCCGATTGGACCCTAAAGTACCCCATGCCAACTGAAACTGGTCCAACAGTTACCTTCAGTGAAAATAAAATATGGAAGCTATCATTAGATCCAAAGATACACACACCTCAATGAATGAAGGCTCCACCTCTTCCTGTATCCTGAGCCTCCCTATCAGACAAGGAGGCCGCCCATCACAATAAAAGACCGATAGTGAGGCTCAGGAGGTGAGCAGAGGCTGGGTCAGTTTGTAAGGGAAAAAGTTGAGACTTGCGTATAACTTAAAGAAGAACTGAAGGCAATTTTTTCATTTTAGATATAGTAAGGGAGGGTTATACCCCAGTAAGGTAATTTTACCATTTGAGTCCCATTGGGGAGATATCCCTTCACTTCCTATCCTAAGGAACAGAAATACAGAATACAAAACGTCCCTAATTTGGCGTCTTCTCTGCGGGTGATCCCACATATTGATGTATTTGGCGTCTTCTCTGCGGGTGATCCCACATATCGATGTATTTGGCGTCTTCTCTGCGGGTGATCCCACATATCGATGTATTTGGCGTCTTCTCTGCGGGTGATCCCACATATCGATGTATTTGGCGTCTTCTCTGCGGGTGATCCCACATATCGATGTATTTGGCGTCTTCTCTGTGGGTGATCCCACATATCGATGTATTTGGCGTCTTCTCTATGGGTGATCCCACATATCGATGTATTTAGCGTCTTCTCTGCGGGTGATCCCACATATCGATGTATTTGGCGTCTTCTCTGCGGGTGATCCCACATATCGATGTATTTGGCGTCTTCTCTATGGGTGATCCCACATATCTTTGTATTTGGCGTCTTCTCTATGGGTGATCCCACATGTCGATGTATTTGGCGTCTTCTCTGCGGGTGATCCCACATGTCGATGTATTTGGCGTCTTCTCTGCGGGTGATCCCACATATCGATGTATTTGGCGTCTTCTCTGCGGGTGATCCCACTTATCGATGTATTTGGCGTCTTCTCTGCGGGTGATCCCACTTATCGATGTATTTG